ACTCGACGTCCATGGCCTCACATCTCACAGCCAGAGATAATATCTCTTCAGCAAAGCAAACTAAGAGCTCAGATCTGTGTGCACAGTCTGCAGCTCTCAGTGACAAGATGTCCAGGTTCACCACCGGTTGACCACAGCCAGCTACCATCCCGAGCCACAACAGACAGTGCTGCATGTTTATGACCTGACTCAATGTGGGTCACATGGCCAGCTACCATCCAAGTTACTTTATGACAAACCAGGCTTTCTGTGCATGTTGTAACAACTCGTTTCCATCGAGAAGACACCATGCAGCTTGGACTGAACAAGTAATCTGTATAACATTTAGCATAGCTGTACATTTACTGGGACAATATGCAAATGCAAGAACTGAAAACAACTGTTCAAACAAGAATCGTGTTTAATCAGAACTTTTCCCTCCAGCCAGTTTAGCAGGACACAAAGACCACAAGCCTTTAAAACACATAAAAAGTAAACCAACACTCTGTTGCTGGGACCATGTCGTCAGAACGTTCATTGCGCTGCTGAACTTCTCACATTACTTGTCAGTTTTAAATGTGCTACGTATCATATGTTCTACTGGGCTGTAGGTTTGTGACCAGTGGCGATCAGCTGGACTGTGACGTGTGTGTGTGTGTGTGTGTGTGTGTGTGTGTGTGTCCACAAGGGTCCGAGACCCACACCACTTTTCTCTGCTCGTCTACATGCTGGGCCCGTTTCTGCCAGAGTCGCAGCTCAGTTCAGTTGTCAATGTATAGATTGTGACAGATGAGGACGACCCAGACATGAGTCCCAGTGAGGTGCTGGGCCACCATGTGACACCAGAACAGCTCCACCTTGACTCTCCAGGTCTCTGAACCCTTCTGGAGGGATGAACACCGTTCATCCCTCCAGAAGGCTCCAACATCTCCCATAGCTCCAACATCTCCCATAGCTGTTCAACTGGGCTGAGACCTGGTGACTGGGAAGGCCACAGCGTCTGGTTCACATCATGGTCATCCTCATCAGGCCGGTCAGGGACCCCTGGTGTCCTGTGGACGGGGGCTCTGTCATCCTGGAGGAGACCGCTCAGCCATCAGGAGAGAAATATTTCATCACAGAATAAAGGAGATCACTCAGAGCAACTTAGTATTGATCTGCAGTGACTCTTCCTCTAACAGCACAAGCAGATCCAAACTATGAACACACACACAGCACAACAGGGCCACTGGATCCCCTCCCTGTCAGGGTCAAGCCCTCGGGTTTTTGCTTTCATTTGCCCCCGTCTGTATATAGCCTGCAGCAATGCCTGAAATTACTGACAGTTCATTTGTCACTGATGTCGTCTTCACACATAGAGCACAACTAGTTTTTCCTGTATCCAAGTAGACACACACACACACACACACACACACACACACACACACACGAGAGCCGGAGGAGTAAGACGACCAAGCTCAGACAAACGCCTTGTTTTATGACCACTATAACAGAAGACAAAAATGTGGGTTAATGGCAGCAGCTGTGCTGTGGGATTGGCCACACTGGCCTTTAAAGTGATGGGAGAGTAATAAAGTGAACCAAGTCATCTCCTGAGCCCACCCCCACCCCCGCAGCACAGAGATGTGCGTTTGTACCTGAAGGCTCTCCTCTCCTCATTATGGAACCGACCTGATGGATGCCTGAGTCAGTGGGGCAGAGTTCAGGTCTTGACAAGGCTGACCTGAGAACAGCAGGCAGCCTTTTCTTGTAGAATTAACCGGTTTGTGCGAACAAAGGTGCAGCAGCCTCAGACCCAAACCAAAAGAATGTGTCTCATTGTTGTCCTGAGGAGCTCCTCACCCCCGCCAGGCACTGCTCAGCCCCCACAACACATGCACAAGCACTCCCCAGTTATGAACTCGGTTTGCAGGAAAACAAGATCAGCAGCACCGTCAAGATGTTTTCTTGGAATAAATCTGCAACTGCCACCAATCAACAAACTGTTTAAACAAAGATGAACGTCACAGTATCACAAGTCACATATCTGAGGATTCTCTTGGTACACCTAAGTAGCTGAACACACCACAGCCTGAGATACACACACACACACACACACACACACACACACACACACACAGAGCGCCATAGGAATGATGCATTGTTTTCCAGCCCAGCCTGGAAGCAAACATCACCCTGGTTCTCTCCCCACAGGCTTTTGGATTATTGCAGACAATAAAGCTGATTG